ACATCTGTCCAAAAAACATTCCCCGAATTTTTTCAAAAAAATGACTCCAATTCATATCATCTATATTTCAGAAGCATCACACATAAATTGGTCTTCTCCAACAACTAATGGTGTTAAGTTTAATGTCAAGTGGTTCATTTGATCTTTTTCCCTAACAATTGATAATAATAAACAGGGAATCGGTACAATAATATCCAACAACAAAACACTATTTAAAAGGAAATGAAACAATAGTAATAATAGATCTGATCCATCATTACCAAACTAAGGAGTGCACAACCTGAACAAGATTTTTGAAGTCCAAAAATGCTTTTAGTAATTCCAAGTTAAGCACCCTGACAGTCATGAAGAAGCATTCACAAATGAACGAGTATTTGGCTTTGAAGGAGAGAAACCTCATTTGCTTTACTGCCTGAACTAGTAGCTTCCTAACATTTTAGCAATCGATTTTCACCATCACTATTATTTGCAGAGACATCAGCTTTCCCAGGATTAATTCTGTTTATCCAGTCAGAGATTTCTTCAGATGATGCATGTAGAGCAATCAGTCCTCTAGTACATATTTATCATCAGAACAAATTAAGATATCACATTAAGATAAATGCATCGCCAATAAAAATAAAATGTACATAGTTCCAAGAGAAATCTCCACCTCAATTCCAAACGATTACTGACAAATACATATTTAGGATCAACTTTATCCTTTTTCGACATATTTGCATCCAAGAATGGCTCACAGAGACGAAGCATAACAGCACTCAAATGTACAAACATTCCAGAACTAGCACTAGAAAGTGGATAAACTGTAACCACCTATCATTTATTTAAGGTTCCAGAAGCAATGAAACATTTAAAGATTTTGACCACGCTCTTAAGTGCAGCAAAGTAATACTGTAATAGTAAAATTAAGACATCTTCTTATGCAATTAATTTGGGAAAATAAAATACTGAGATTAGCTAATATGTGTCTAAATTGAACAATCTATGCCGGGGAAAGATTCACCTGCAAATGTGCACGTGAAGAGTTTCTGTTGATGACCTCTGCAAGGTACCCAACAATAGCAGATTATTTATACTCCACGAAAACAAACTAGGAGTAGTAATCAAACACACTCAATTTTAGCAAGTGAATCAATTTCATTTTTGACACCAATAGCATTAGGTAATTCAATAG